AGCTCAGCTAAGTTTTGTTCAGTTAAATTCATTTGGTTCAACTGAATTCAGTTCATTTCAGATCAATTAGTGCAGTTAAATTCAGTCCATCTCAACTCAGATCTGTTAACATCCATTTAAATCAGTTTAGCTCATTTCAATTAAGTCCAACTCAATTCTGATTCACTTAAATTCAGTTCAGTTAAATTAAGTGCTGTTCAGTTCAGTTCACTTTAATCAAGATCAGTTCTGTTCAGTTTAGCTCACTTGGTCAGTGCAGTATAGTGTTCATGTGGTTACTGCTGTGTTCATGTGGTCAGTGTAGCATTCTTATAGTCAATGTAGTGTTCACATGGTCTATGCAGTGTTCAGTGCAGTGTTCACATAGACAGTGAATATTCAGATCAGTGTTCATGTGGACTGCGTAGTGTTTGTGTGGACAACGCAGTATTCAGTCCAGTGTTCATGTGGACAGTGTAGTGTTCAGTGGAGTGTTAATGTGGACAGTGCATTGTTTATGTGGACAGTGTAGTGTTCATTTTGAAAGTGTAGTATTCATGTGGACAATGTGGTGTTCAGAGCAGTGTTCATGTGGACAGTGTAGTTTTATTTTGGACAGTACAGTGTTCGTGTGGACAGTGAATATTCAGATCAGCGTTCATGTTGACAGCGTAGTGTTTGTGTGGACAATGCAGTATTCAGTCCAGTGTTCATGTGGACAGTGTAGTGTTTGCATGGTCTATGCAGTGTTCAGTGCAGTGTTCACCTGGAAAGTGTAGTGTTCATGTGGACAGTGTATTTTCTTTTGGACAGTGCAGTGTTCATGTGGACAGGGTAGTGTTCATGTGGTTAGTGCTGTGTTTTTGTGGTCAGTGCAGTGTTAATGTGGTCAGGGTAGTGTTCATCTGGTCAGTGCTGTGTTTTTGTGGTCAGTGCAGTGTTAATGTGGTCAGTGCTATGTTCATGCAATCAGTGTAATGTTTATGTGGTCAGTGTAGTGTTCATGTGGTCAGTGTAACATTTATGTGGTCAGTGCAGTGTTCATGTGGTCAGTGCAGTGTTCATGTGGTCAGTGTAGTGTTCATGTGGTCAGTGCAGTGTTCCTTTTGTGTTTTAGACACATACAGGCTTCTAGTTTGGCTTCTAGTGTCAGACACGCAAGTCTTCTCAGCAAGTCATCACTTTAGATTCAGGTCTGAGTTCTAGATTTCACCAACTGTTTGATCCTCTAAGAAAAATGCACAGCTGGTAACATGAAAATATCTTCCAGAAAGTTTAGATGATACTCAGCCAACACGTCTTGGCTAATTTTGTGGGTTTGTGGTGCCACTCCAGAAAGACCTAGAGAGCGTACATATATAATGTCTAGAACCCACTCCTGATGTCAAAGCTCACGGATCTATTTCCTCCCACAGAATGTAATAAAAATTGTTGAAAAGAACCTTTTGAACCGAAAGTGTCTATGTGTCTGTCCCAACTGGTGATCAAAGCCTTCCACTTCTCCTCACAATCTCAAGGACGTTGCATCAGTGCGGTCGTCTCCAAAGGCTGCAGGCAGGTGAGCTCAGGAAGCCATTTTGAACTGCAGAATCACAAACAGAGCAGAACTCAGAGCTGTAACATCTGAATTTGAATTTGAGGAAACTAAAATTCAAACTATTCCACTTCTGGTCAAACTTTGGGATGTTTATATTGAAGCACAATTCTGGACATCACAAAACTGAACTTCACCTTCCAAACCTCACCTCCTAACTGTGACCTTTACCTCGCGTCCTCTCTCTGGGTACCTGTTCAGCAGTGAATGGAGCAGCTGTCGTTGAACCTCCTCACACACTGTGTTTTCTGATCTTCAGGGCCTCGTTTCCGTGGCGATGGCTTTGCGTTGTTATGGGGACTTTTTGAAGCACGTGTCTTTGATGCCATCTCTCCCGGGACGTTAAACTCCAATCAGCGGCTAAACACAAAAATAACATCAGAACATCTGAGAGAACGTCTCAAAGTTCCTCAGACGTTCATCATGAGGAACTCGCTAGGTTGTTGGATCTCCTCCAAACGAACCCCAGGTGCCGGTTTGTTTGGATTTGTTTTTTCTCTCCGGTTTAGAAGCTAAATTGCAGCTTGCCTGGAATGACAGCTGCTGCCAGGTCGGAGAGAAAACAGGAAAACTTTCAGTTTCTGCACAAAGTCTGAAATCTGAAAGCTGCAGTTATAAATAGAGGCACATACTCAAAGCAGATCTTCTCCATCATTACGGAAACACTCCAGCCTCCAAGCCGCCCGCTCACACACACACTTTAGCGCAGAGTGTCAAAGTGAAAAGTGGTGAAAGATCCCACAGTGATATTGGATGGCAAATTTTTTTCCTCATATGAATAATTCTCTCTGAATAAAAGCAAATGTTTCTGCCATCAATGAATCATCAGCTGAGAAATGTGTCTCTCTCTTTCTCTCTCTCTCTCTCTGTTTCTCTCTCTCTCTCTGTTTATCTCTCTCTCTGTCTCTCTCTGTCTCTCTCTCTCTCTCGCTCTTTCTATCCTCCTCCTCTCACACAGATGATCTGTTAGATTGTTTTGATTAGCTGATGTTGATGTAGCTCCACCCACTAACAGCTCAGACATTAGGCCAGGAGTTTTAATGGAGCCAAAGAGAAAAAGACAGACAGCCTGAAAGCTGAGTAATGTAAAGAAAACTTGCTAATAAACAAAGTTATTTCACTAAAACGTTCTGCAGGATGATATTGTGGCACCTGTGTTTCTGTTCAGTTTAAGCAGCAGTGAGTTAAGACGTGTAAGTTATTTACCTTGTTAGAAACTGTTATACTTGATTCTAATGCAAGGACTTTTATTGTGAAGGGCGGGGCTCGGCAGGGCCGGTGCTCAGTGGAGAGCAGTGAGCTAGCACGCAGTGTGTGTGTTCTCCTTCATTTTTTACACTGATTTCTACTGAAATTCAAGCAAAGCTAAGTGTGGACCAGAACCTTGACTCATCTTTGACCCTGTTTACACCTGGTCACTTCCTGTGTCCAGTATCTGGATTGTATCCTGATAAGATTTTAGCCATAGATATACAGACCTAGATGCCGCGTGGGGTCCAGCCAGGTACGTCAGCGGCGCTGCCATTTTGGGGCAGTCAACAGCTGAATGCAGCTGCTGGACTGCATTCAGTACCATTGCAGAGTGGAGGGAACGCAGTGGTCCACGATCATGTTTGTGTGGTGTTTGTGTAGATATGGTCGTGTGGTTAATGAGGCACAGAGAACCTGTTGATGTGATTGTTTTTCCTCTGGTTTTATATTAATCTTATTTCATTTAATAGTCTATTCAGGATCTTAACTTTATGTAGTAGTTATTTATTTACAGTGATGGTTAAAGCTTTGTAGCTCAGTAAGTTAAAGCATTAATTAATCCATGTAGATATTCATAATAGATTAACGTTAGCACCTTCTTACACCAACCTGAAGTCTGCTTCTTATTCGCCAGCTTCTTGTTTGAATTTCCACTTTAACTGATGCATCAGCTACCATCTTGTTTGAATTTTCCCGTTCCACCTCAAATGGTGCCGCATCAGGCACCAGAAAGTAACAGCTCTTGAAGGAGCTTGCAGATAGGAAGCCACCTTCAGCTTTGTCCTTCTTACTGTGTTTTGGGGGTTTATTTTATTTTTATGTGCATTAAGATCAGAAGTGATTCACACATTGATGGATTTGCTGATGTGTCTGATTGTGTTTCTCGCGTCAAACTCTGTTTTTAGCATCAGGTGCAGACTGAATACTTTCCTGCTGGTCCGGACAGCTAATTATCACTATCAGTTATTAAAGATATAAAAGCTACCGAGAGCAGATCCGAGCAGCCTGGATTAATCTGTGTCTGAGGATTATAACTAAACAGATTGGGTGAAAATCGGTTGAGTAATAAGGAAGTTGTGGCTGATTTAATCCTGAGACTCTTCATCTCTCAATACAAGTGAATCTGTTCACGAGGGGATCTTGACCTCTCCAACATGGCGGACGTGCTGACGTATCACCTCAGATAGAGAACAGCAGACAACGCAGCATCTCGGAATGAAGATCTGTGATTTTAGCCACATGCATTTACACGCGATAGTCAAATGTGTCTCCAGTTAGCCAGACTGAAATCTGATTGCTGTGGGATGAAATATGCAAATCTGCTTGTTATGATGTTCTGATGTTATTTTTGTGTTTAGCTGCTGATTCGGCTCGTTACGCCACCAATTACCAACTGTTTATCTGTTCAGCCTCTTTCAGTCTGTTGCTGAAATTCACAATTTCACATGTCGCCTGCATTTCTTAGAGGAACCATGTGTGTCCATGATTATCTTCCCCTCAGACTAATGATGTACTGCATAGTTGAGGAGTTTCAGGTGTACTGGGAGGAGTTTCAGTTGTACTGTGAGGGGTTTCAGGTGTACTGGGAGGAGTTTCAGTTGTACTGTGAGGGGTTTCAGGTGTACTGGGAGGAGTTTCAGTTGTACTGGGAGGGGTTTTGGTTGTACTCGGATGGGTTTCGATTGTACTGGGATGGGTTTCGATTGTCAAAGTCAAGTGAGATCAAGTCAAAGTTTATTTATATAGCGCTTTTTACAACAGGTGTTGTCACAAAGCAGCTTTACAGAAAAATCCAGGTCTGAGCCCCCATGAGCATCACCAATGGCGACAGTGGCAAGGAAAAACTCCCTAAGAGCAAGAGGAAGAAACACTGAGAGGAACCAAGACTCGAAAGGGGAACCCATCCTCCTCTGGACCACACCGGATAGAAAACAGCATTAGTATAAAATATTATAATACAAAATGGGTAAAACCAGGCTGAGCAACGGTTAATTAGATTAGTTTAATTTATGCAGCAGCAGTGCAACAACCGATATTAGTTAAATGCTTGTGCAAACAGGCAAGTTTTGAGTCTAGTTTTAAATGTAGAGAGTGTGTCTGAGTCCCGAACAGAGGTCGGGAGATGGTTCCACAATTTTGGGGCTGCGTAGGAAAAAGCTCGACCCCCTGCTGTGATTTTTCTAATTCGAGGAACCGTCAGCAGGCCGGTATTTTGTAAGCGGAGTGTACTTGTGGGTTCATATGACTGAGATACTGTGGGGCCATTTAATGATTTATACGTTAAGAGAAGGATCTTATACTCTACACGAAATTTAACAGGTAGCCAGTGTAATGACCACAGGATTGGGGATATATGGTCAAACCTTTTTTTCCTTGTAAGACTCTAGCGGCTGCATTCTGGACCAGTTGGAGCTTATTTAGTAATGTATTGGAGCATCCAGCTAAAATGGTGTTACAGTAGTCCAGCCTGGAGGTTAAAGAGGCACCAGCTCTTCCGCATCGTTTAGGGCTGGAATATTACGTAGTTTACCGATGTTTCGCAAGTGAAAGAATGCGGTTCTAACAATGTTGCAGACCATGTATCAAAAGAGAGACTGGAATCGAAGATGAAGCCTAGATTTTTTACAGTTGTACTGGGAGGAGTTTTGATTGTACTATGAGGGGTTTTGGTTGTACTGGGAGGAGTTTTGGTTGTACTGGGAGGGGTTTCGGTTGTACTGGGAGGAGTTGCGGTTGTACTGGGAGGGGTTTTGGTTGTACTGGGAGGAGTTTCATTGTACTGGGAGGGGTTTTGGTTGAACTGGGAGGAGTTTCAATTGTACTGGGGGAGTTTCGGGTGTACTGGAAGGGGTTTCGGTTGAACTGGGAGGAGTTTCAATTGTACTTGGGAGTTTTGATGGTATTAGGAGGGGTTTTGATTGTATTGGGAAGAGTTTCGGTTGTACTGGGAGGGGTTTCAGTTGAACTGCGAGGAGTTTCAATTGTACTGGGGAGTTTCGATTGTACTAGGGGAGGTTTTGGTTGTACTGGGAGGAGTTTCGGTTGTACTGGGAGGAGTTTCAGTTGTACTGGGAGTTGTTTTGGTTGAACTGGGAGGAGTTTCAATTGTACTGGGGGAGTTTCGGGTGTACTGGGAGGGGTTTTGGTTGTACTGGGAGGGGTTTTGGTTGAACTGGGAGGGATTTTGGTTGAACTGGGAGGAGTTTCAATTGTACTGGGGAGTTTCGAGTGTACTGGGAGGGGTTTCGGTTGTACTAGGGGAGTTTTGGTTGTACCGGGAGGGGTTTCGGTTGTACTGGGAGGGGTTTCGGTTGAACTGCGAGGAGTTTCAATTGTACTGGGGAGTTTCGATTGTACTAGGGGAGGTTTTGGTTGTACTGGGAGGAGTTTCGGTTGTACTGGGAGGAGTTTCAGTTGTACTGGGAGTTGTTTTGGTTAAACTGGGAGGAGTTTCAATTGTACTGGGGGAGTTTCGGGTGTACTGGGAGGGGTTTTGGTTGTACTGGGAGGGATTTTGGTTGAACTGGGAGGAGTTTCAATTGTACTGGGGAGTTTCGAGTGTACTGGGAGGAGTTTCGGTTGTACTGGGAGGAGTTTCAGTTGTACTGGGAGTTGTTTTGGTTGAACTGGGAGGAGTTTCAATTGTACTGGGGGAGTTTCGGGTGTACTGGGAGGGGTTTTGGTTGTACTGGGAGGGATTTTGGTTGAACTGCGAGGAGTTTCAATTGTACTGGGGAGTTTCGATTGTACTAGGGGAGGTTTTGGTTGTACTGGGAGGAGTTTCGGTTGTACTGGGAGGAGTTTCAGTTGTACTGGGAGTTGTTTTGGTTGAACTGGGAGGAGTTTCAATTGTACTGGGGGAGTTTTGGGTGTACTGGGAGGGGTTTTGGTTGTACTGGGAGGGGTTTTGGTTGAACTGGGAGGGATTTTGGTTGAACTGGGAGGAGTTTCAATTGTACTGGGGAGTTTCGAGTGTACTGGGAGGGGTTTTGGTTGTACTAGGGGAGTTTTGGTTGTACCGGGAGGGGTTTCGGTTGTACTGGGAGGGATTTTGGTTGAACTGGGAGGAGTTTCAATTGTACTGGGGAGTTTCGAGTGTACTGGGAGGGGTTTCGGTTGTACTAGGGGAGTTTTGGTTGTACTGGGAGGGGTTTCGGTTGTACTGGGAGGGATTTTGGTTGTACTGGGAGGAGTTTTGGTTGTACTGGGAGGGATTTTGGTTGTACAGGGAGGAGTTTCGGTTGTACTGGGAGGGGTTTTGGTTGTACTGGGAGGAGTTTCCGGTGTACTGGGAGTGGTTCTGGTTTTACTGGGAGGTTTTTCAGTTGTATTGGGAGGAGTTTCAGGTGTACTGGGAGGGGTTTCGGTTGTCCTGGGAGGAGTTTCAATTGTACGGGGAGGGGGTTTGGTTGTACTAGAAGGGGTTTCGGTTGTACTGGGAGGGGTTTTGGTTGATGAATGTATCTTGAAGACATTAATGTGTTTATGCTGCTATAACATGCGTCTCAGTTCACCTCCTGAAGTGCTCTGAGTGATCAGGTCTGTATCTGTTTTAAATGCATCTTGGATTTGTTTAAATTTGTATTTTATGTGTCCTCATACAGATATAATCCTGATACTCAAAACGCATAAAGTGACCAGGTGTAAATGGGGTCTGAGTTTCCTCTGAGATCCCTCTCCGGTACAGTCTTCTACTCCAGATAAGAGAGTTTGTGATCAGTAACTCACACACTGTTGTTGGAGTCGCTCCAAGTCGCTTAAACTTCAGTCATGTGGAATACATAATTAGCTGCACATCCAGTAGCTCCGCCCGCTTTTTGCTTAATCTTAACATAAGTGCATTCTGTGTTTTTCTATGGTGTCCCTGACCCCGCCCCCCCCCATGGATGTATGTGTAGGTCAGTATGAGTGTCTCTGTGGCGACACTGACGCTGACCCTGCTGCTGTCCGGAGCTCCACCCCTCTCGGCCTTGCAGCCGGAGAATGAGGTCCCCCTGCGGCCCACTGCCTGGCTGACTGACCGCACACACACACCTGTCTACCTGAACACCGGACGCACTCGCAGGTATACACACACACACAGTAACACACAGTAACACACAGTCTTTCACACACATTCTTTTACACTCAAACACACATTAACACACGCGCTCTTTCACACACACTAATGCATATTAATGCACACATATAAAGACACATACACTCACACATACACTAACACACACACACACACACACACACACACACACACTCTGTTCTTCTGACCTTCATGTGAATTAAACTGTGGTCAGTCGACCGTTTGAAGGTCCAGCTTTGGAGAGACGCACTGTAAACGCTTTACTGCCCGATGTTCAGGTCAGTTTGTTTTGCTCAGTATTTTACCACAGCACTAATTTAATCTTCATCTTCATCTTCAGATCAGATATCAGACTAAATAATATTACAATATAATATAAACAGAAAACAGAGACGCTTAACATCCATGTTTATCACAGTCAGCGCAGCAGGTCACTGATGTTTGGCCAAAATATGCTCTGTGGTCCATCTGCAGAAATCAGAGGCATTTATTTTATTAATTTGTCATCATTATCACATTATTATGAGCGTCTGTAAAGAGTGAAACATTAAACAAGCAGATGAAGCAGACAGTTCAGTGCTGATGTGCTCTGATTGAAGCACTCGGCTGCTGAGTTCTCACGTTTGATTTGGACTAAAAAGCAGCAAACTGAAGCAGGTTCACTAGATAAGAACCATGACCCGTGAGTTTTGTCAGGGTGGAGTGTTCACACATCGAAGCGGACCAAACTAAAGAAAACAGCTCTGCACCAAACACGGTAGATGTGAAAGAGCCCTGAAATATTCAAACTGACATTTAATAAACTCACAGTAATGTAAACTGTGGTCAAGCGTTCACGAATCGCACTAAAAAACAGTTTTACCGGATCAGTGGCTGATCCGGCAGCTCCTCTCACTGAACACCAACTTATGATGGTTTTACTTCATCTCCAGCTGAAATGGGGTATTTTAACTGGTTATACCCATTAGTTTAGTTTTGTTTTGTTTGTTTTTAGTTTCATAAAGGCCAGAACTACGTAAGCTAAGCACCCTCTATTCAGTCAGACACCAGCTTGCCCCATGGTTCCGACAGCCCTAGCTAGCTAATGTCTTGTTTATGTTAATCTAATGAGTTAGCCGGATAGAAATCCTAGCTAGCTTGTTATTGCAGTGTTGTTTTTAGGGTTAGTGTTAGTGTTAGGGTTAAAGTCCTGCTGAGCTTCTGCCTTCAGCATCATCTGACCATCTGCTGTTCTTCTGACTTGTGATAAATCTGAATTAAAAACATCTCCAACGTGTTTCTGCAGGCTCTATTTCACTGTGCGGAAGAAGACACTTTCTCTGGAGCTGACCGTTAGTCCCTGTTCAGGAGCCGTGGAGTGGAGTCTGACCGCACGCTCGCTGAAGGACAAACCAGCCAAATACACTAAATGTGAGGGTTACCATGAACAGTGTCCTCTTTCAGCTGTTAATATATGGACAAACTAGACTTTACCTTTAGTAGAAACATTAAAAATTCACACTTTTTAGAAACGCACTAAATCATGATGTGACATGAAATACGCTTCCACTACTTGTTAGCTACATTAGCCTCGTAGCTCCAGTGCTAAAACTAAAGAAGCAAACTTCAGACACTGACCATGATCAGCTACTTTTGCAAGGTGTTGTTCTGGGCTGCCTGCTACTAGCAGAGGGCAGCAGCGGTACTCGTCCAAGCAGCTAGAAACCTCAACTCCCAGAATGCTCTGGGCTAATTCTCTTAATGGTGCTCAGCTGGAGGAGCACCTACTTAAACCCCAGAGACACACAAAGAAAATGTGGCACCTTTGTAAGGGGGCAGCCAGTAAATAGTACAAAACAAAGAGCGGCAAAAGAGGATCCAACAGCTCCAAAACAAAAAGAGAAAGAAAAGATATATGAGGTCTGAATTAAACAGTGTGGGACACCCCATTACCAAACAAACCTGTCTACAATCTACAGTGTGTGGCTAAAATGGATGCTAATTAGCAAATAGGGCTAGTTAACTCACTAAACTTAGCAACAGTAACCAGAGGACATGGGCTGTTCTTTTACACCGCAAGACTGTTTTCATGATTCATACCAAAATAAAAAGAGAAAGATTCTCTCAGAACACTTAGAAATTTCCAACAAAGAATTCAAACAAAGAATTGTTCACTAAATGCTTTATTGCCACTGAATCTGGCAAATCAAAACCCCCAACCTCCCCGATTACCAGGGGATATTTTACACACTGACCTTACCCCAGATGTAGTTGATCAGACATGTTTGGTTTCTGAAGTTGGCTTCTGTAGATCCAAAGTTAAGAGGCTAATACAGCTTCAAAGCATTGGAATTTAAACACTGGAATTAGCGTTGTGCAAACTGTGTGCCTAAATTTACAGTGTTTAGCAGACAATCTTATCCAGAGCAACTTACTAAATGGCTGTGTCATCTACTTCGAAAATATACCCACCGATACCTGGACACACAAACACACAACACTCAGCGATTACAAAATGTGTCAAGGGCAAGATTAATTTTAATTTAAAAGGTTTGACAACACACGTCTTTACTCAGCAATTGAAGACAGTAAGGGACGGTATGGATAGCCAGCGGACGTTCGTTCCACCACTTGAGCACTTCTATTGAAGACTTAATGCTTGTCTTTCATGTTTAAGGCGATGGGTTGAGCCCACCTACACTTCAGGCTTGAAATGTTCAAGATACAGTTTGGATTTTGACCATTGCCTTCAGGTAAGGAGGGACTGGACCATTTTAGCTTTGTAGGCAAACATCAGGTTTTAGCTCAGATATGAGCAGCTACAGGAAGTCAGTGAAGGGAATAAAGCAGCAAAGTGACATAAGAAGATTGAAGACGAGTCAATCTGCTGCATACAAGGTTACAACAGATACATAGATAGATAGATAGATAGATAGATGAAACTTTACTGATCCCAAGGTTTGAAGAGCGAATTCTGTTGGTTGGTCTTGTTTTAAGGGTGGTTTCTGTGGACTGTCCTTCTTTGAAGATCAGTTTTTGTCGGTTTGCAGGGTTGTTTCTGGCCAAGATCTTGGAACTGGTTTTGGTGAGAAACAGAAACAAGTGTTTGTAGATGGCTCAAATTTTTGAGAGGAGAACAGAGATATTGCTCTGTAACTGCTGATATCACAGGTGTCTATAGTGGACTTTATCATCCTGGTGGTCTTGAAAGCATAGTACACATGACCAGAACTTATGTAGCTGTTTATGATGGATTTGATTAAAGGCAGCAGGTCCTGGGAGAGTCTGGAGCACTGTGGATGGGATGGTGTCTAGCAGGCAGGTGGTTGGATTGCTGGATGTCAGTTGGTGGAGGAAGCCATCTGGAGAAAGAGGAGAAAATGTTAGGGTGTAGAGAAAGCACTGCTGGGGTGAGTGGAGTCTGGGAAAAGAATTGGCAAATCCTGTTCACCTTGTCCTCAACAAAACTGACAAAAGCTTCTGGGGTAAGAAAGGTGGGTGGGGGGTAATGAGGGGAAAGAAAACCTGTGAAAACCTGGCTATGAATGCATCCAGTTTCCATCTGTAAAAAGATGACTTTACAGCAAGTACTTCACAGGTGAACTTTGAAGAAGAAAACAGTATGAAAGGAGATTTAAATCTGATTTCCTCAGCAATTTTTAGTTTCTATCCAGCTGCTTCACCAAACATCCGACAGCATGTGGAAAAGATCTTGCTGGTCTGCAGGAGGAAGGGCAGACGAGGTTAATTGAAGAGGGGAGTGAAGCGGTGTCCTGAGAGAGAGAAATAAACGAGTCAGGGTGTGGTAGGGTAGATATGATGGTTTTAAGTAAAGGATGAGGGGTGGATGGAGTGCAGATTGCAGTAAGTGGAGGAAGAATGCGTGGAGCAGTGATGTGGACGGGGTGAGATAGTCTGAAAGATGAAGAGGTGATTTAAGAAGTTGAGGGTTTTCCTGTACTGTCCAGTGCTGGGCCAGGTCTGCTAAAGTGCAAGTTCAGCATGTTGTCTGTTCTGTGCATTGGTGAGAAATTTAGGGTCTGATTGGAAGATGACAACAGTGGGACGAGGCAGACGGAACAGGAAGAGGACCTTGTTCAATGGAAACTGGAAATCTCCAAGGAGAATGAGTGTGGTTGGAAAATGATCATACATTTGCCTCAGACAGTGTTGTAAAAACTTGTAATCTCAAATAGGCTGAGACATCCTACCCCCCCCGGGTGGGTAGGATGTCTGTTAGCGTTAGAATGAGCAGTTAATGTTCTCCTCCAAGCGTCATGAGCTCCAATGAAATTGTGTTAGTGGCAGGTTGAAGAGATGGTGGAGCTTCAAGTGTCTCAGAGGAAAGAACATGCTAACCATCACCCTCCCAGTTTGGTAGCATCATGTCTTAGAGGGGGACATAGCTAACGGGTGAAACTAGACACAACACACTGAGATTGTCCAAACAAGGGTTTTTGTAGTTTCTGACGCTGCATGACAAAAAAATGTATGTTAACGTAGCTAAACACAGTAGCAGAATTCTGAATTTTGTCTGTAACACTTTTATAGTGATGCATCAATATGGGGATTATGGACTGATATCAGATATTTTTCCTGTGCTTATCTGCTGATGCTGATATGCTGTATAAATATTATTAAAATATACAAATTGGGGCAGAATCTAACTAGACTGGCACTACAGAGACATATAACATTTATTTCTGTAGGACTGAAAATGTGATAAAGTGAATAAAATGCAGACTTTAGTCACTTTCAGCATTTCTGGAGTTTGATAAACACGTCACATATCAGGCTGAAATATCTGTCGAGTCTAAACATCATTTTTTCTTATCTGCTGATATTTGATGTCATTGTGCGTCCCAGGTTTTCACAGATAGCAGTTTATTTAACAGCCTGGAAGAGGCCATATGAGGTTATCTATTAAAGTGTGAGCAGCAGCAGGTTTAGCTTTAGTTCTGCCGTGTGTGTGTGTGTGTGTGTGTGGTGTTGGGTTACGGGTGTGTGATGTGTTTGAGCTGAAAGAACTTCACTCCTCTAAGCCTCAGAAAGAAAAACAGCATTCTTTATTCTGTAAATGGCAGCTTTAGAGATCTTTGAGAGCCACTCGACAGTGTTAGCATGAAGATTTCAGGTGACATTTAGATCATCTGAAGATCATCATCTAAACTTCTCACAGACTAAAGCTTTAGACCGTTTGTGCCCAACAAAACCTCTGTGTGTAACCTTAAACCACACGATGATGTTCTTTGCTGAGAGACACAAAGAGAGAGAGAGAGAGAGAGAGAGAGAGAGAGAGAGAGAGACAGAAAAAGACAAGAAAAAAGCTGATGATGGTCTGTTGAAGAGATGGTGAGATACAGAAACAGAATAATGATGAGAGAGAAAAAGGGCTTAATGCAGCTTTCGTTATCTGAATTCCAGCGACGGCTCGGAGAACGTGTTCATGTTCTGCTGCTGTTTGGTGTTTTATCGTCTCGTAAGCAGCCTCAGCCTCAGAGTGCACTTATGCTCCCTCAGCCTGTCAGGAGAAACAGCATTATGAAGTCATAAAGTGACGAATAAATCATTCAGTCCGCAAACTCGAGGGTCCCCATCCGCCGCCTTAAATTATTCACTTTGATTATGAAACATTTGCTCTCAAAGTTCACTGACAAAAGTAATGAAGCTTCCGTGGGAAAACAGAATTATGTGTGAAACATTCAAACATTTTCAGAAGGAAGTCTTTTGATTATACGATCAGTTAAAGCAAAAGTTCAGCGAAAGAATTTCAAATGCGAGATCCCCTCATGCTCCCGATCAGCGGAGCCAAGTTTTCTTCTGAGGAACAGAAGCTTATACTCCATCAACTAGCGCTGTGCTAACGGCTCCTGAAATCATCACAAAAAAAAGTACAGACAAAATTCTGCTGCTGTTTTTAGCGATGCTAATGTACTTTACTCAACATTTAAAGAGAAAAGCGCCAGAAACAGCTTTTCCGCAGCACATTCAAAAACAAGTACTGCCACATGGAGTCAGTGGAACTTCATGGTTCTAGTTCTACTTAATTGTTTCAACTGCTTGTTCTATGGAGGCTAACATAAATGCTAATAATGTTAGTGTTAGCCTCCTAACTAGCCTCCTAACTCCTAACCGAATTCTATCAATCCACACATCAACACACTGTTCTAGCTTACATACTGTTGCTCTAATGGGTGATGTGATGGTGTTTGTTTACTTTAGTATAGAATTCGATAAACTGTTGTTAGCTTCAGCTGCAAGTGTTAGCAAAGACAGAGGAGACTAGCACTATTAGATTCTGTTGGTCCCAAACCATAAAACTGGACCTTTCAGTACTGGACCGATGGAGAAAGCGCAGTTGAAGTTTTCTGATACTAAAGGTTCCAGTTCTCCAGTACATGCAATGTAAAAATAGCTCTTATTAATTCTTCTACAGCTCCACGCATTTTCAGATGAGATGATTGTTGGGGTTAGGGTTACATTACTTGTTAGCTACATTAGCCTCGTGGCTCCAATGATAAAACTAAAGAAGCAGAATTCAGATTCCAAACATACCTTGGCTGTTCAGCCACATTTGGAGAAGGAAACAGTGCTGATGTTTTGCTGCACTTTTGTGTTAATTACGTGTAAAATCAGAAAGTAACGAGTGTCTCTGATCTTCAGGGAGCACCAAGAAGAGTTTTCCAGAGGTGTGGTGGAGAGGATCTGGGACGGAGGCGCTGATCCACAGCTACTCAGGCAGCGCAGTGGACACCTATGAGGGTCCTGCATATGGTCTGGCATCCATCTACATCCTGCGGCTCAAATCCACAGAGCAGGATACCCAAGTGGACGTTTATCTTCATGAAGGTCCTGGACCCTCAGGGGCTTTCCCTGAGCTGCCAGCTGACTCCCGGGTCCACACGCTAGGGGTCGGGATGACCAGCGTCACTCTGAGCTGGACACCGAGCTTGTCCGTCACCAAGACATCAAAACACAGCAAGAAACACAACTACGAGTACTGCGTAACGGTAAACCGCAAACACAACTTCAGAAACCTGTGCACCGCCCGTGAGGAGTCGAGGAAGGAGAGAGAGCGAGGGAGGAAACGAGGGAGGAAAGACAAACATGGAAGAGATACAGCACTACTGAAGACCTGGTGGAGCCAGCAGAGGGAAATGTTTGAAGATAACGGCTCCTCTGCTGTGATCCAGGTGGACTTTGCGGATCCAGACTGTGTCTGCAGGGAGGTGGAGAGTGTGTGCACTGTCTCTGACCTCCTGCCGGACACCCAGTACTACTTCGACGTGTTTGTGATTGACCGGGTGAATAGAACGAGCGCCATGTATGCTGGAACATTCGTGCACACTCACACTGAAGCCCGTGGGGTTGTAACCCCTCTGAGGGATAGTCAGGTGCAATGGGTCACTCTGAGCTTAGGGTCGGAAGGTCAGCGGCGCTTCAGCTTCAGGCCTCGCGGTGGGCAGCAGAACGGCCTGCTGACCCTGCACAGCTGCAATTCCACAAAGGCTAAAGTGACAGTGTCCAGCAGGGGGCGCCTGCTCTCCTCGCAGGAAGTGGGGGACCAGCTGGCCCAAATCTGGCTCCAAGGGGGTCCCTCATACCTCATTCAGCTGCAGACACTGGACGCTACAACATCCAAACCGGACCCAGAAAGGTCGAAGGTGTGTGTGAAAATGCAGGCGTCATCAGCGTTCCACCGCCGGGGGGTGCCGGTGCTGCCGGTCACTCTGCAGTTGAAGTCCTTCAATAAACTGCGCAGCTGCAGCTCAGTCACTCTGGCCTGGATGGGCACGGAGGAGCGCAGCCTGTACTGTTTATACCAGAGACAGATCTCCGACAAACTGGACGTCACTGACCGCTGCCTGGGGCCGGAGTCGCGTCCAGCATCAGAGCGGATCCTCTGTAAATACTTCCAGGAACTGGACCCACGGCGAGCGGTCACTACAACGGTTATTGAGGGGCTAAATCCGGGCAGCATGTATATGTTTGATGTCTATCTGATGAGACGCTGGGGACTGCCCATTAAATACCACAGCAAAACAGTGAGGACCCGGAGAGAGTGCTGAGGACACAAGACCTGCAGAAACACTCAATGGACAGAGCAGACTGACCGATTCAATTGTACAGAAGCCACAAAGAGGCTGTTCTGCACAGGAATGAGCTGTGAAAAGAAAACCTGGCAAAAGAAATTAAATGAACTACAACCGTGGAAAAGTTCTTAAAGGGCCCGTAACACAAAAACACTGTTAAAGTTTCAAAATGTACTGTTCACTCCCAGAGCATGCAGTCCATATGGACCCCACCCCTTCAGCCTACAGCAGTTTAGCCCCGCCCCTTCAGCCTACAGCAGTTTAGCCCCGTCCATTCAGACTAGAGCAGTTTAGCTCCGCCCATTCAGACTACAGCAGTTTAGCTCCGCCCATTCAGACTACAGCAGTTTAGCCACACCCATTCAGCCTATAGCAGTTTAGCCCCACCCATTCAGCTTACAGCAGTTTAGCCCCACCCATTCAGCCTACAACAGTTTAGCCCCACCATTCAGCTACAGCAGTTTAGCCCCACCCATTCAGCCTATAGCAGTTTAGCCCTGTCCATTCAGACTGGAGCAGTTTAGCTCCGCCCATTCAGACTACAGCAGTTTAGCCCCACCCATTCAGCCTACAACAGTTTAGCCCCGTCCATTCAGACTGGAGCAGTTTAGCCCCACCCATTCAGCCACAGCAGTTTAGCCCCGTCCATTCTGACTACAGCAGTCTAGCTCCACTCATCAAAACAGAGCTCATTTACAGATACCAGTCTTAAAGGCACAGTAACAGAAATAGCCTGTAACTGTAAGGGATGAAGAAATTGTGAAAAATGATCATGTAGAAATGAACTGATTGTTCTTGGGACATAAAAGAACCAGTGAACTGAAAAAACAAAACAAAATATTACACACACACACACACACACACACACAAACCAGCAAAACTGTATTTATTGTACGTTGTTGTTCTGCTGTCCGTTGTGTTGTTATATAACTGCCTGTTCGTGCTGTTTATTAGAGGCTGTTCAGTGTCAGGAGGTTTTACACAACAAAAGACTGCCAAACTCACAGCAGCAGCCCGCGGGCTAACTCGACCAGCACACACAGAGAGAGAGAGAGAGAGAGAGAGAGAGAGAGAGAGATTAGCTCAGTGCAGTGTCAGTGATGTTCTGCTAAAGCATGCAGCAGAGAAAATAATTTAGTGATCAGCTTTGTTGTGTTCGATGTGCTTCTTGTGCTTTGCTTTTATGCACCAATAAACACACAGACGAGCTTTCAGTGGACATGTTGAGTTTCTGTGATCAAAGCTGATGATGGTCTAAAGTTTTTGTCCTGTAGATGAGGCAGATGATGACATATGCAGAGGCTGTTCAGTAATGAGGAGAGGAACCGAACCGTCAGCAGGACTCATCCTCACTGCCACGTTCAGCTTTGAATTAGCAGAAATTTTCCACCTGATTTGACGGGCGAGCGGATCAGCCAGATCCGTTAGAGAAGGTTCAGAGGAGCTGCAGTTCAGGCCCTGCTGGGGGTGCGGTCACCAGTTCTGAAGAAAAGAGCTGAAGTGCTGCCCCCTGTCTGCGCAAACCTGAAACAGGTGTGTGTTTACCTGCTAACAGAGAGGTGTGAGCTCAAAGGTTCTGTTAAAAGTGTAATTCAGTCAAAAATAAAAATAACCTACACTGAATAGTCAATGTTTAAATTGTTTGTTTTCCTTAAAGTCCAAGACACTACTAAACAAGTAACAGGAGCATTTTTAAATCTTTACACTAAGAATGTGAAGATTTATGAATATGAATGAGTATGCAAAGTGGAAAGACTCCTGTGAGGTCCCACCATCCAAACTTCACCCCTTCCCACACCACTATAGTTGAGAGCGGGTATGCGTTACTTCCCTGTCGTCAGAATGACCACACCCCCTTTTGGATGAATACAAACCCGGTCAGAGCGCTGGTGCCAAGTTGGTAGCACCAGTGGAAACGTGCTGAACATCGAACAATAAAAAACCCAGTTTATGATTTTCTTTACTTCCCCAAAGAGTGAAGGACAGTGAAAGGAGAGATGTGTGGCTTCAGGGCGTCTGCAGAGAGAATGAGAACAGTAAACAGTGTGTGTGTGTGTGTGTGTGTGTGTGTGTGTGTGTGTGTGTGTGTGTGTCTGACAGGACTGAATGGATTAACACTGTCTACATTATAGCCAACGTTATTTGATTGGCAACGACACTGTTTGCCTGACTGGCCACAGGATTTGGGCTTCTGATAGCTGTAAATCCGTACTATTATTTTACGCTAGTAAATTTTCAAAGACCTCAGAATTTGCATTTACTGACAGTGAAATTAAAGGGGCTGCTTTCGCCCAAAAAAGGGCGGGGCATTACGCAAGGGCAAAGTACCCGGATGTGCTGCTCTCATCTATGGTTACACTTCACTATAACAACTTGGAGAAAATCCAACATGTTTGAACCTCATACAGACTCAGAATCTGAAGAGGGCAGATATAAAGAACTTATATGAAAAATTAATGCATCAGCAGATGGAAAAGCCACGCTCGAAAAACCAGCATAAACCAGTTTAGACCAGTACAGAATAAACCTGTCAGCAGAGGAAACAAACCAGAACTCTCACTGTAACATTATTAACCAGAAAATAAATGAGCAGAACTTTCATCACTCAGTATCTGACAAGCCCTCAGCTGAACTACAACCACAGCCACACAGCAAATGCTAAATAAGACAGCAGAGCTGGTTTTGGTGCTAGTGCTAGCCTAGCTAGCAGGCCAACACACCACAGTCCACTAATCAACTCGCCTAGTTTTAACCTTTATTCTCTAAACGTCGTCAGTGGTGCCTGAAGCTGTTAGCCTGTTCGTTAAACTAGCACTCATGAGCATTAGCTTAACGTTAGCTTAGCTAGCGGGCTAACAGCTCAAAACACTGCAGAAAAAATTTTGTGCCCTCAGATTTGAGTCTTTGCTCTCAAAACGTCAGAGGATCGTCATTCGCTGATGAAACTTGAGTGACCTGAACCAGTTCGGAGACGAATGGCGCTAGCTAAGCTAAAGCTAACACATAGTGCTAACTAAGACAGTAGTGGAGCTGGTTGTGATACAAATGCAAGCTTAGCCAGCAGGCTAACACCATCTGGCACATTACCGGTATTATTATAATAATAATTATGGAATCATTTTTTATGTTAATTACTAATAAAGTTTATACCAATATTGATCAATGTGATGATGACTAGTGATAAAGAAGAGTTAACCATTTTTGAGTAGCAGCTGATCTAAAAGATTCTACTGTTTTCTGTTGTACTGCATTAAATCCACATTTGAGGCAAAATAAAACATTCACAGAATCAGTGTAATCATATTTTTTATTAATTTATTACAAAATACAAAGAGGTAAACATCCAGGGGCTTTTCACACTGAGCCAATGCTACGACATCAGAGCGGTCAGTGAACGTCAGTCTGGTCCAGCAGCGCAGCGTGAGATTTAGGAAGATTTTAACGACTCATCGTTCAGAATTTCCTCCGTCCGCGAACAGACTGAAGCGCCGTTCTAAAAAAACTCCAATCAGGAATCAGCGCCACCCGCAGGCCAGAGTGAGGAACTGCAGCACAGCCACTTCACCACAGCCCATCTCAACACGCACCATATAATATTCCTGTCATACAACATCAACTGAATAACTATAATCAGACTGTATTTAATAAAAAATGTTTTCTTCAAAAACAATGTTCATTTTTCCACAACATAAAAGAAAATACTGATTATTCATTAATTATTGAGACACTGTTTCATGTCTTAATCTCACTTCACGATACACGATACACACTGCTGTGACGTTTGTGCACTCAGAGCCGCTGCGGCTCTTCCTGATTGGAGCTTTAATCTGGAGTGTGAGCGCTGGACGCTGCTGCGGTCAGCAGCTGGAGAACACAGCTTCCTTCCTGAAAGTGTTCGAGGGAAAAGCAGATTTTATTGCTCATTCAGATCTGGAGTATAAACTAAACCTGATTTAAAACTGTAACTATGAGAACGTCATCAGAAGCTCCACTGCTGTGAAAAAGTAAGTACACCATGAAAAAGTGTACAAATTAGCATTTATAGCACATTATATGTCGTTATATATTTCAGCAGAAACGGTAGATAATCGTCCAGACTCTGTTTTTTCATGGATGTGAAAGCTGGTCTTTAAACTTTGTGACTTTTGAGAGAAACTTGGACGGCAAAGAAAGAAATGCATCGATCCTCAAATCAAGCCTCTCGTCTCACTCAGGGCCCAGAGAGCCAAACTGAAGATCTTACTTTGGACACATTCTGAGAAGAACTGATTCATTGTGAGAGTCCATTATGCTCTGAAGAGCTGAAGGTAAAAGAGGACGAGCAGCTACAAGATGGAGGGAGACGATCAGAGGAATCATGACGCAGCCATTCAGAAGCCTGAAGACCCAAACAGAACACAGGACATTCTGGAGGGACACTGTCCACACGGTCAGCAGGAGTCAGAAACGACTTGATGGCACTTAATTATAATAAATTTAATCTCTTTTAGAAATTAACATTGAATAGTCACTTTTTTACTCATCTGCACTGTTTAAATCAATGTATGCGTTTTCTGTGTACAAAGTAACCTGGAGGGCACCGTTACTGACCACCCACAGACACTGTACCACGCTAGCTCAGCTAATTCTGCTGGACGTACACATGAAGAAGAGATTTGACAGGAAAAAGACAGTAAATTCAACAGATCAATGTTTTTGTGTACATTTAATATTGCCCTGTTAAATATCAGGTCACTCTGATGCAAAAGCAAAACTGCACGTTTGTGATCTAATCAGCGACAGTGATGTAGATCTGAGGTGTTTAACTGAAACATGGCTGAGCTGTGATGATGCAGCAGCTCTAACTGAAATGTCCTCCACAGCTTCCTGCTCTCAGCACAGGAGTCTCCAAAATCTGGCTACAAAAATACTAATTTTGGTAAATTCACTTCCTTTGAACATCTAGACATTTTACTGAGCTTGAAGTCGTCAGCTCTGATAGTAGTTCTTTTCTGCCTTTGACCAGAAGAACCTCATACTGACTGCAAAGCATGGCGGCAGAAGCTTCACAGCCTGGTCGGCCAGCCGTCACTGAGTCAACCATGAACTCCACACAAAACTAGAGAGAACCCGAGGAGAAAGTGAGGCTAGTCCTGAAGCTGAACCGTAAGTTGGCCGTCTAATAAGACAATAACTCAAAACACTCCACAATGAGGCAGCAAACCCACAAGAACTCAGAAGAAACAGAGGGTTATGGAGGTCAAAGTGCAGATGATAACGCCAGAGGACTGCTGAG